AAACTTGAATCAAGCAACCCTCCTAATAGATAATACTGGTTTTGACTGTGTGTGTGTGTCTGTGTGTGCATTTTTGTCTCTGTGTTTGTGTGCGTCTGTCCGTCTGTGTCTCTGTGTCAGTGTGTGTGTCTGTGCCTCTGTGTGCCTATGCCTCTATGCATCTGTCCCTTTGTGTATCTCTGTGTCTGTATGTATCTCTGTGCCTCTGTGCCTTTCTGTCTCTTAGGTGTGAATCTGTGCGTGTGAATCTGCGTCTCTGTGCATCTGTGTGTCTCCGTGCATCTGTGTCTGGATGTGTCTGTCTCTGTGTGCCTGTGTCTTTGTGCGTCGATCTCCCTGTGTGTCTGATCAACTACATCTGTGTGTCTCTGCTTCAGTGTATCTGTCTCACTGGAACACTGTGTCTGTTCAGCTCTGTGCGTCTGTCTCTGTGTCTTTGTGCATCTGTGTGTCTCTGTGCATATGTGTCTATCTCTGTGTGTCTGTGTCTTTGTGCTTCTATGTCCCTGTGTGTCTGCACCAACAGCGTCTCTGCGTCTTTTTGCATCTTTGTCTCTGTAGGTCTCTGTGCATTTGTTTCATTATGTCTCTGTGCACCTTTGTCTGTATTTCTCTGTGCATCTGTATCTGTGTGTCTCTGTGCATCTGTGTCTCTGTGTAGCTTTGTCTCTATGCATCTGTTTCCTCATGCCTCTGTATCTGTGTGTTTGTGCATCTTCGTCTCTGTGTCTGTATCTCTGTACCTCTGTGTTTGTGTCTCTGTGCATCTATTTCTTTGTGTGTCTGTGTCTCTGTACATCTTTGTCTCTGTGCATCTGTTTCTTTGTGTGTCTGTGTCTCTGTCTCTGTGCATTTGTATCGGGTATCTCTGTGCCTGTGTGTCTCTGTGAGTCTCTGTTCATCTGTTTCTCTGTGCCTGCGTGCATCTGTGCATTTGTGTCTGTGTGTCACAGCGTCTATGTCTTTCTGGGTCTGTGTAGATTTCTGTCTGTGTCTCTTTGTGTCTTTGTGTGTTTGCCTTGCATTGCCACTTGTACCAATGCTCCACCAAATACATGTAAACATGTGGTTCTGTGGTAGTCTCTTTGCACTGTTTGATGGGGGAGAAGATTAGAAGCGTACCTGATAGAACTGATAAGTGTACAATATAATAAGCATGCACAGATATTCAGTTTATGTCTCTGTCTCAGCACATGACTAAGCAATCCAGTGTAATAGCTCAGGATCCCACCCAATAATTATGCTCTTTTGTACTAATTCAATCAAGGGGCAATTAAATACTGGCCCACTAGGGTGGAGCTTTAATATAATTGTTTTTTTGTTTTGTTTTGTTTTTTTGCAATGAACAGATCGTTAGCAGTGATGTATGTTTGCGCTTAAATGCAGCCAGCCGATGGTCTAAATCACAAATTGGACTTGAGTGTTATTTGCAAAGAGTAACGATTTCTTGTGGCAGATTTTTTTTTTTTTTCAAGGGTAGGCTCAAATTGGTTTTTTTTTTTTTTTTTTTTTTTTTTATTATTATTGTGTATGTACTTTTCTGCTTTTTTTTTCTTATTTGTATCTATAATATATCTCGGCTGTCAATAACAAATGTCACGGCTTGGAAAAAGTCTGGTTTGGCACATAAAGTTTCTAGAGAATCAGGAATTTTTGGATAACTGTTTGACCTTTGAATACAGGGTTTTGTGTGTGTGTGTGTGTTATTCAAATTTGAGAAAAGCGTAACATTTAAACACTCACTCCAGAGGGAGTTAGGAAATGTGAGCGTGTTGGTGAGCTGCACATCATTTCCTCAACTAACATCTAACACGAGCGATGGCAGCATATTTGGCATACTTGGAAATTCAGTGTCATATAAACATGCAGCTATCTCCATTGGAATGAATGTGATGTGTTAAAAAAAAATCTTTTGAATTTGAATATCCGATGCGTACTACCATTTCTGTTTAAATTACACATGCACAGTGTAAAACTCTAAGCCTCTATTCCATGCACTGCACAGTATAGACCAGACACGGTCTGTATAAAGTGTGTGTGTGTGTGTGAGTGTGTGAGTGCAGAGGGCACAGACAGCAGCTCTCCCACGGCTGCTGTAGGGGGGATTGATGATGGTCTGGGCGGCGGGTGTCAGGCCTGATCTCAGCTGTCAGCACCCTAATGAAGTGCTGCTGAAGGAGAGCAATAGCAGACCTGTACACGGCAACACAGCCTCTCCCTCTCTATCTCTCTCTTCCTCTGTCCATCTCTCTGCCACCCTGCCCTGCTGTGTGTCCACCACACCTGCCACGTCTAGCTGCTGACATCTCTCTCTCTCTCTCTCTCTCTCTCTCTCTCTCTCTCTCTCTCTCTCTCTGTGTTCTCTAATAAAAACACACGGCCTAGCTGCTCATTCCTATTCAAAGATTCAGAAATGCAGGTGGACAGAATGTGTGTTGTGTAGACATCAGTCCTGAGTGCTGGATGGATGATCCTGCGAAAAGCTCGCACTGAGATCGTGTCCGATGTTTATTTGCCGTATGTTCTGGCTTTTTGTACGAAGCTTGGCCCGAGATCTTCTTTTTGATACCTGATGCTCTGGGCAGTATTCCATTTATGATCGTTAGCTAATACTCCTACTCTGATATTCCTACAATCCAAGTAACCTGATGAAACATCTTATGGCGTTTAAACAATATGTTTAATATAGAGTGCGAGTGCGTCCGAGCTGAGTGTGTCCGTGAGCGTGGTCATCAAAAGATGGGTGAGTTGTGCATGGTATTTTGCGAGCATGGAGCAGTGAAGCGCGAGAGCACTTCAGTTCTGCGAGCACTGAGCACATTGGGCCTCTTACCTGGTATGTTGTTCTTGAAGATCGGTCGCTATCAATCCTTGACAACAAGATATTCCGATTCACAGAAGACAGTGTATTTTACTGTGTAGCTGTACAGAAGCACTTTTCCGCAGTGAAACAAAACCCATTGTTTTTGAGCGAAGTAACTAACGTAGCTAGCTAAAGCACTTCATTTAAAATCTGCTTGCTTATTGGTAATAATCAGTATTGGTATTGGAGTACCAAAAACGTGTACTCATACTCAGTCTGGAATAAAAAAATGGTATTGATGCATCCCTTATATTACTCAAATATATTTTCTCTCGATCCCATTTTAATCTATTCATGCTAATTTTTTTTACAACCATGCTTAGGTCTCTGGCGTTCTACTTATGCACCCAAGTGTTCCTCTTAAGTAATCAAATCACTCTACTGTCACTTCCATTTACTTAATTTCACAATTCTTTCTCCTTGCCATGCATTAACTCTCCTTAATAAGTAGAGATTTCAGTGTAGAGCTGGATATCTGTGTTTACATTTCATGCTGACACATTTGCCAAAAAAAACTTTTGGCCGTAACCACTGATACTCTCTGACATAAACTTTAACGGGAGCTTTAAAGCGAGTGTCGTCTATTTTTAATCTGCGAGATGACATTTTACTAATGCAGAGTAGTTGATGAGGCAGTCCTTGAACCTGTTCTTGATCTATCAAAAACAGTTTTGTTTTAATAGAAGGTTAAGTTAAAAAAAAAAAAAAAAACAGCCAATGATCAGTAGTGGTTTGTTCAATGGAGTGGAGACGTGAAACTGTTTAGTGCCTATTCAATGAGGGTTTTGTCGAAATAATATTAAAATGCTAAAATGGCTTATGTCTGCATTTCATTATCTTGTCTTATTCTTTATTTATTTGGTGGTTATTGTGAGGGCACTGTGGGTGGCAGGATCTACACAACCTGTTCAAACCAGAAGGCACTGGTATTCTGTGGCACAGTGGGCTTTTATCAGTAAAACAGACGGCGCTGCCATGCAAAGCCCTTTGCCACACGTTATTTTAAGGTTGCAACTTCTGCTAAGCTCGGTTTGTTACGAAACCAAAAGGCAGCCGTGATAATCGATGGACCAAAAACAGTCACTACAACATCACTGAGCCGGAGCAAACTGCCAGGAAGTGCTCTGTTGGCTCTATAAGCGCATGAAAATTAATTTCAGAGAATTGTTGTGGAAACCTGTTGCCATGCATGAGGGCTGAACCGGGTTTCTGTAGAAATAACTGTTAGAATAGGGCTGTTTGTAGCTCTCCTTCTTTGGTATTGGACTGTGGCATGTAATTCTGAGGGTAGGGTTGTGTGTGTGTGTGTGTGTGTGTGAAAATATTCCATGGTGATTGTAGTGACACTCGAGACATAGGTGAAGATAATATGGCAGGTTTCTGTACTTATTTTGTAGGGTGCATGGACTGCTTTGTAAATAGAAGATGATGGTGCTTGCATGGCCTAGCAAATCTCCTGACTTTTTATTTATGGAGGATTTTGATATTGGGGAATTTGAATTTGACGGTTTGCCAAGAAGACTGGGCCAAAGCTGAACTATAACACTGCCAAAAGCTTACTTCTCAAAACTGTAATTGCCAGCAATGGCTTTGCAAAAAAAGTACTAATGTTGGTAATTTGTGGTGTCCAAATCCTTTTTTTTTTTTTTTTCCCCCTATCAGTTTTGTTCTTTAAACATATGTTTGTCTATGCATATGAATACAGACTTTTTTTGTTCATATTTATATCCTGAAGTATACTAAATAACAAAAACAAAAGTGTCTGGATACTTATTTCCCCTCACCCCTGCAAATACTGCTTCTCTGACAAGTCCTTTTAAACATCATCTATATTTTATAGTGTTTTAAAAATGGCTCGGTTTGTTTTGCTTTTAATAGAAAAGAGTACCTTTTGGAGTGTCTTTATGCTGAAGAAGAAGCGTGAAAACTCTCTTCACACAGGTCAGGGTTTTTTTTTTTCCCCTCTTTCGGCGGCTCCCATTTGGGGTCGCTACAGCGAATCACCCGACTACATATTTTGCTTCTGGCACAAGCTTTACGCCGGATACCCTTCCTGATGCAACCCTCTCTATTTCCGGGCTTGGGATAAGCACTGAGTGTGCACTGGCTTGTGCAAACCTTTAGTGGCTGGGGTTGGTTCCATGATCGGGAATCGAACCCGGACCTTGGCGAGGAGAGGAACGCATGCTAGCCACTAGTCCACCAAGGAACCCCACAGGTCACGATGGAATCCAAAACGAAAAACGTAAAGACAGAAATGCATTTTGAAATCGTCAAACGTGAGGTAACTGTCTGATCATACTCCATGACTAACCATGACACCATATCAACCCTACTTCCTGCCATTAAACTACCATTAAGCTTTGGAATGGTGACAATGCTGCTTTGGCTACTTGGATAACATTCTGACTGCAATGTTTCTTCTAGCATTCATACCAATCACCAAGATGTGCTTTACAAAACTGTTTACGAGTCACGTACAGAGCAAACCCACCACCACACTCTCCAGATAATGCCATATCGACTGTCCTTCACCTGACCCTGACCTACTTGGACAAAAAGGACAATTGTGTGTGAAAGCCGTTACTTCAATTCAGCATCCAACACCATCGTCACCACAGAGACTGTCTGTTAGGACCGAACATCTCTCCCTGTACATGGATCACGACTCACGACTAGACTGCTGGAATCGCATCAAGTCCTCTGGTGACACCTCATCAGCAATAATGAGGAATCAGCATACAGAGGGGAGGTGAAGACTGATGCAGAAGCAACAACCTGTCTCAATGTGGACAAATAAAAGTTGATTATTGGCTTTATAAGGATACGTGGTGATTACATTGCGGAAGAGCATTATTGAGGGGAAAAACCCTAGTGGTGTCTTAATTTCCTGTGGAGAGCAAACCTTCCTCCTCCCACCTTTATGACATTTTACAGCGGGACAGTAAACGCAATCTTTCGCAGCTGTATCATCGTCTGGTATAGGACGTGGAGCGTCTCGAAACGCAAAACTATATAGCGTAAAGGTTGCATCTGCAAAGCCAGGAGCTTGTTGGATAACCTCCAGCAGCTAGGACAACATACCTGCCATCTTGCAGAAGCTGGCAAGAGCTGGTAGTGCCAGATTCTGTAACAGCTTCTTCCCTGAAGCAGACTCCATAACACACTGCTGCCTAACAACATGTAGATTTGGTACATTATGACAGTTTTTTTTTTTCATCCACAGTAGGGTTATTACAGTATCACAGCTTCATAGTTAGTCAAGGTGCATGACTGGATGGTAACCTTAACGCTGACTTTTTCAAAATACTGATTAAAATGCATTTTATTTTCTGCCTTAGTGCACCACCTTTCCTCACAGCTACTCTTGTTCAGTTTATAACGACAACATGATTTTAGGGAAAAGTCATTCTTAAAAATATGTTTCATAAGCACTATTCAGATTGGAGTAGTTTTACACCGGGTAATGTGACATCATATCCTGTGCTTTTTTTCATCAGTATAAAGACACTCTTTTCTGTCATATCCCACCAAAACTAAAATGAAATCAACTATTATATAGTATTATAAGTGTTAAATATAGATGTTTAAAAGGAAAAGTGGTGCTTCTGGAGGTTTTCAGTAAGTCACTGAGTTCCTAGCAGAGGTTCAGCTTATACATTTCTGTATGGTCATGTGACCTACAAATGATGACGTGTAACTAAACAAGCGCTTAACAAACAATCAGTTTGTATTAAAGTGAGGTGTATGTAGTACACACACAATTTTTAGT